GATGCCCCGGTGTGGTCAAGGGATGGCTCCCTATTGCTCAACCATGTTAGGTATGCCGATGATCTCAGAGGAGGAATTGGAGATGCTGCTGCTGAGCCTGGAGCGTGCCACTAAGAGGTGGGGCCTTACCATCAGCCCCACCAAAACTAAGCACCTGCCTGGGTATTTTGTACCATCGGACACTCCACCCCCACAACTCCCAATTGGTAATGGGGTAGTTGTAGAGAGAGTGGAGAGTTTCTCATACCTTGGCAGTGTGCTAACGATGGCTCCAGTTTGACAGCAGAGGTCTCACTCCGAATTAATCGAGCGGCATTATATTTTCATTGGTTGTGTAACGCTGTGTGGAAGCTACCTGGTCTGTCGCTCCGCACGAAGCTTCAGGTCTTCTCGGCCACGGTCATTGCATCCCTTCTTTACGCTTGCGAAACGTGGATACCCCTAATGAAACATTTAGGCTGGCCTGCCTACGATCCATCCTGGGTTTAACCAGGCTGGATTGTGTGAGGAGCTCACAAATCCTTGAAAGATCTGGGCAAAGTCCCATCGGTGAGCTCCTCTGGCAGGCAAAGCTGCGTTGGCTGGGTCATGTAGCCCGCATGCCCAGCCACCGCATGCCTAAACAGCTTTTGTTTGACCGGATCGATGGGGCTAAACGGGCGCGGCACGGGCAAGAGAAGAGATGGAGTGATGTGGTACAGGAGGACGTGGAGCTGAGTGGACTTGCCGATAACTGGTACCCACGGCGTCAAGATCGGCCTTTGTGGAGGAAGCTCGTGAAGGACGCTACTGGGCAGTTGGAGGCAGTCGCAACAACGGAGGGTGGAGGAGCGACGCTCACAACAACGAGCGGAGCACCGGGTGGCTAAAGCACAGCAAGTTGGCACAGTAGGGGGCACAGGTGGTGCATTAGCCAGTCATCTCGGTCATCTCAGTCAGTCGACCCGTGGTACCTGGGTCTGCCCCGTGACCTCCTGCCAGCGGGCGTTCGACACTTCACGTGGCCTCAAGGTGCACATGGCCTGGCACAAGCGTCGTGGTGACGTCACCGCCGGCGAATGGCGGTTATTGTTGTTGTATGTATGTGAATGTGTATGAGTGTGTATGTGAGAGTATGTGTATGTATGTGTATGTGTTTCCGATCCGACGCTACATGTGTATGTGTGTGTATGTGTTTGTGAATGTATGTGTATGTGTCTGTATGTGAGTGTGTGTATGTGTGTGCGTATATGAGTGTGTGTGTATGTATGTGTGTGTATTTGTGTGTATGTGTATTTATGTGTGACTATGTGAGTATGTGTGTATGTGTGATTATGTGTGTATGAGTGTGTATGTGTTTATGTGTGTGTATTCGTGTGTATGTGTGTATATGTGTGTGTGTGTGTCTATGTGAGTGTGACAGTGTGTGTATGTATGTGTGTATGTGTGTTTATTTGTATGTATGGGTGTGTATGTGTGACTATGTGAGTACATGTATATGTGTGTATATGTGTATGTGTGTGTATGTGTATGACTATGTGAGTGTGTGTATGTGTATATGTGTGTATGTGTGTATTTGTGTGTGTATGTGTATATGTGTGTATGTGTGTGTATGTGTCTGTATGTGTGTGTGTATATGTGTGTTTGTGTGTGTGTGTGAGTATATATGTCTCCCATGACGGCGATCGTCCTTCAGAACATCACGATCAGTCACGTGAAAGAATTATGACCCTAGAAACCCATTGCAATCACGCACACACACGCCTACAAACACACGCCTACACACACACGCCTACACACACGCCTACACACACGCCTACACACACACGCCTACACACACACGCCTACACACACGCCTACACACACGTACCCAGCAGAAGAAAGATCCCCCGTATAGCCTGAACAGACTGTTGGGTCAAGCGCTTTTATCGAGCACCTATGAAGGCCGGCACGAGTAGCAATCTTTTTTTTATATTACACACCAAACCAGGTACTTATTTGAGGCTGAGTCGACCTAGGGGAGGCCCTCGTCTAGTTCAGATAATCGTCACGGGTGTTGGCCGTGAACGGGAATCGATCTCGGGGAGCCGGGTTCATAGTACTGTACAGCGTAGCGCTAACCGCTACACCACCGCTCCCTACCCAGAGATAAACAACAAGACAAAAACACTCTCTCACACACTCTATCTCAATCTCTCTCACCCTCTCTCACACACTCTCCCACACACTCTCTCTCTCACCCCTCTCTCTCTCTGCTCCATCCGTGCTGTGGCACAAGACCAATGCCCTCCAGCCTCCTGCTTGGCTACTCACCAGAGTCAACCGCTCACTCGCGCACTTCGTCTGGCACGGGAAGCACCGGCTCAGGCCGGGCGTTCTCTGCCTGCCGGTGGGCGAGCGTGGCCAGGGTCTGGTGGACTATGCCGCCAGGGTCACGAGCTGCAGGCTCATGGCAGTCAGGCGGCTGCTGTACGACCGGGAGGAGCTTCCCTGGAAGTCGCCCTGCTGAGGAATGCAGGGGGGTGCCTGGAGTACGGAAAGGAGTTCGTCCTGATGGACCTGAACCTGGTCGACTACACGAGGCTGCCAGGTTATCACTGGAGCCTCTAGGACGAGTGGTAGGGTTTCGAGTGGAGCAGAACGCGCGTGGCGCCCTACGACCTCGTGCAGTTCCAGAACGAGCCCTTGTTCTGCAACGGCCTCTTCCAGGGGATCAGAGGAGAGAGCACCCTGGCTCTACGCCTCACATCAGCAGGGCTGCGGACAGTCTTCCACCTCGTGCAGACCACCAGCGGCAAGTGGAAGACCGCAGCTGAGATCGCCAGCACCGCTAAGGGACTCCGCTCCACGCTCGCCGGGGAGAAGCTGCTGCCGGATGTCGCTCTGTGCCATGAAGGAGCTGCGCCTGAAGCCGTAGGCGCCGGGGGACCGTGGCGGCCCTCCCCCCTCCTCCTCCTTCCCGGAGTTGTGCTTCTCCTGCGCGCAGCCTCCTGGCCACAGCGACTCCGGCAAGCTACTGAAGCTCCGAGGCTGCAGGAACGTGCCCCTGAAGAATGCCCCAAACACGGCGCTCTACACGTGGCTGTGTCAAGGCGCTCTACACGTGCTGTGTCAAGGCGCTCTACACGTGCTGTGTCAAGGCGCTCTACACGTGCTATGTCAAGGCGCTCTACACGTGCTGTGTCAAGGCGCTCTACACGTGGCTGTGTCAAGGCGCTCTACACGTGGCTGTGTCAAGGCGCTGCATTCCCGGGACCTGGCCGACCTACCGGACACAAAATGGAGAGACCATTTCTCTCCCCTCATTGCGGCCGCCCCTCAGTGGAAACAAATGTACAAGTCTCCCCCGTAGCCAAACGCAGTGCAGATTTCCACACTGCACGTTGCCATCGGCCGTGTGGCTCAGCCGAATCTCGCCAGGGGTAACAGACTTGTGCATTTCCTGCCGTGCCAGGGAGGATCTGCCCCACCAGTACTTACGCTGCCAGCGGCTCAAACCAATGTTCCGCCTTTTGGGGGACATCTTCAGGAAACTGGGGGTGCCCTTCTACAACAGCAGCTTCGTGTATGGGGTGGTGCCTTACCTGGCTAACAAGCGCCATGACCTCGCCAACTTCGCCTGTGCTCAGGCGAAGAT